ATGTAGATATATTTGTATTTTATATCAAAGTAAAATAACTTTCCCTGTAGAATATGATTTATATAAACATCACTAATGTTCCAAATTCCTTGCCTCTGCTTTTTTCTTTACAATCAACAAACACCTCATTTGAAAGATTCTTTGGATATTTCAAGAATATAGATTCTAGTACTCAGTCATTGAAGTTCAAATACAAAATTGTGCTGCTTACCTAATTGTGCCTTGAGTGCATCTGAAATCTCAACCATTATGGATGAAGGAAGTTTTACAGTGGTTTCATTAAGACCTGGAATAATGAGGTGCACTGCAAGAAAATAGGTGTAAATAAGACAAGGGAAGAACATACTTCATGACATAAAATAAAGTTCAGAGTACAGGATATTAGAGTATAAATCTTAGCACTTATTTTGCTTAGTCATTTTTAACCCTAAATTTAAAACATTGGGAAAATATGATTGTAGCTTTTAAACAATATTTTTCGTATGTAGAACTGAACTACTGAAATCCTCTGGCTTTGAATTTATAGATGCAAAAATTGTAAAATGGCTGTTTCAGATATGTGGTGAACAAAGAACATCATTATCAATGATAATGATTTTTAAAAGACCAGTACAAAATGCAAAAGGCTCCTTCATAACTGCAAACAACCCTATGGACAGGGAGGATGAGTGCCGTCATTTCCATGGGAATGGGCTAGAGTTATTTCTTTAACACATCATGATAAAGCCAGGGTCTCTTGGCTCTTAGCTTGCAACAGACACAAGCCAGGATATTCAACACTTAGAGGAAATGAATTGACATTGATATAACACACCTGCTCTCAGTGAAAAACTCCATAAGAGCCCTATTGTCAAAAGACAGTATGACTTGCTTATTCTAGGTAGAGGTTTCAAGATTGACTCACCTAGTATTGTTCCTCCAAAGGGAATCTTATCTGGGGATTTAATCGAAGCTCTGTGAGTAACATTCTGAATCACTGTTGAAATATAAAAAGATAATAGTGTGATGGAGGAAAACAGGAAAACTAATGATATAAACCCATTTGCCATGGAAAAGTCCTAATCTAAGTGTATCAGCAAATAGATAGCAATTCAGCAGGCTGATTACACAGCTAACAGGATTAGCAGACAACTCTCACCTCAACAACTTTAAGTATTGTTATGATATCTTTGTTATTCTATCATAAACTGTTCTGTTTTGAGTACAAGTTCCTTTCCATGCCCATTCCCTGCATCCTGTCCTCTCCCCGAGTCAATAAGAACTAGCATAAAATGTAACAATGAAATAGGAAAAAAAATTAGGAAACATATTCTCAAAGCAAATAATCTTTAGGGAATTCCAATAGTAACTATCCCTGTTTTGAGAGTATAATTAGGACTTTGCATTTTCTTACAATGAAAAACTATCTGAAGGCATTATCTCTTCCACCAAGAAACTTTGTAGACATAATGGAGTCACTTTAATAAACTGAAAAACTAGAAGATAAATAAAAAAACTAGATACTGAAATGAAATGAGAAACTATAATTCTTGAAATCTGGATATCTTTACTATCCCCAAATGCCACTAAATCAGTTTTCATTTTCAATATCCTAAAGGCAAATATTATATTAATGTTTTTCATGTATATTAACTTAGTCCTGAGCAAATCCTACATATTTCAGACTTTAAAAATTTAATACATATTATAGCTGCTTTGCCCAGCTGTGAATTGCCCAAAATTTCATCTGTTGGTACAAGAATCAAAATTATATACTAACTGCTCATTTACTATCCCATACTAGTATCTTCAAACATTTTTTTTCTGAAAAAAAAATCATAAAAATTGAGAAAATACGTGCTATCTTCCATTACTTCAGTTAAAAGTATATCAAAAATAGTTCATACATATCTAAAATAGACTGAATGAATACCTTGCTTGATGATTGTTATTGGGATTAGCTTCCTTGGGGCATATGCTGGCTGAAAAGAGAGGGAGAAAATCAGCTTTCACATCATTGTCAATGACTTTAAAAAGAAAAACAACAGAGTAATGGAAGTAACCCTTTTTTGTCTTCAATGAGGTCTCCTATGACACGTGTTTAATAGTCATGGATAGATCTTTAGCATACACATCTGCCTCTATTTTGTTGGACTCATTTGTTTTTTTCTATAAACATACAAAGGGTTGACAGAAGCAATCCCACCCCCGACCCCGACTCCCCAGAACTCCCATTTACTTAGAAACTGCAGTGGAAAGAAACTAAATTCTCTATATCTAATATGAGCAATTTCATTTCATTTGAGATGTGCCCCAGTTGAGTTCTGTCTACATTTCTCTCAAAACAATTCTGAACTACATGTTATCTTTTAAAACCAATCAGTATCAATCATTTGCACATACCCTCTATTGCCACTGCTTTTACTGCATATACTACAGCCATGAAGAAATGCTGGCTGCAAGCATTTATTGCCCAATAGGGCAAAGCTAGGACTTAGATAAGACATTCTCTGTCTTCAAGCCTGTGCTCAACCATTCTGCACATAATTATATGCAAGGAATCTCAGAATTAGAAGGACGGATCCCAAAAGACTGTTTCCTCTCCTCACTCAAATTGCCTCAAAAGTCTTACAGGAATTTTTTATATCACAGAGTGACTAAGGATATGTTTAGAGATTAAAGTGGAGCCAGTGTCAGACATGATCACAAGGCAAAAGATAAGACAAGTGAAAAGATGTGCAACAAATTCATGTGGGAGAATTAGAATTAAATTGAAAAGATAGCAATGACATTGATTTTTTGACACTTGGTTTATCTTGTATACCTGATATAGACACACTAAGTAGCACATCTGTTGATTACCATGAATGTGAGCTATTTACCAAATCAATGCTTATAACTGAACAAAAAGGCATATTGGCATGCTATTATTTTAATAAATGATATGTCTGTGGTAAAGAAAGGCCACAATACCAACTTTACTGTTGGCTATTTTGCTTATATTAAGGTCTTTATGTTTAAAAATGACAAGAATTGAAAGTTACTATTAGATAATTTTTAAAAGGGTATCTAAACTCAATGGCTCAGTAATTTCCTACTTACATCTCAAACTAAAGAATTAATCAATGACATAATCATTCATATGTGAAGACTCTTATTACCACACTTTAAAACAACCTAATTATTCAAAAATTTTTGGGTTTTTTGTATGTATACTAACTTAATCTGTATACAGGTTTTATTAAATAAATAATTGTTCAAATTTTTATTTCTATGCTTTAAAGTGGGGACATATGTAGGGTATAAATAAACACAAAGGATACAAATTTGCTTCCATAGTACAATTCAATTTTATAACAAACACATATAGACAAAGGACCAGAAGGAAATACATCATAGTTTTTTTTAACAATTGTTATTTGTTATCAATTGATATTAATTTTATTGTGTGCCTGTCTATAGTTGCCAAATTCCTTACAAGAATGAACTACATATATAGTCAGGCACAGCTATTTTAATCTGCAGTCTGTTCATCTGGCATATATACTTTGGTACTGGAACTTAGCTCATACACTACTGGTGAGTAGGGGAATGATTTAGATATAATTTAGACATGATTTTTCCCAGGCAAGAGGAGGGGCATAGTAGGAATAGAAACATAGCTTTCAGCAGGAAAGAAAAGTGTTCTTGGCTTTGAGATTTTCACTGGCAAAAAGATTGCTTTTAGCTTTATCAAAAGAAAATTTATGCCAGCACTGTACACAGATGCTTTCCTGGAGAGAACAGACTCCAGGATGCTCTATGCCCCAACAGGCCACCTAAAAGCAGCCCACTAGGCTTCCCTCCATCTGCACCATTTATCTCTCACCTGCTCTGCTCCAGGAGAAAGAAGTATTTCCAGCATACAATCATCAAAATTCTGAGAATTTTATTGGGTGTGTGTGTTAAAACAGTTAACATACACCTTTTGCAATTCATATTTTTAAAATTTATTTTATTTTATTTTATTTTTGGGTACCAGGGATCGAACTTGTGTCCTTATGCTTGCAAGGCAGGCAGCAGAACTACTAAGCTAAATCCCCAGCCCTAAACTTAATTTTGTGTAATTGTAAATATTTATGAGATACTATAGGATGTTTTAATATATGTATACAGTGTGGAATGACTAAGTCAAGTAATTAACATATCCACCAAAAGGAAGTTACTCATTCCTTTTTTTGTGGTGAGACATTTGAAATTTATGTGCAACAATTTGGAACTATACATTATTAATAATTATGATCCTTTTTCCATGTAAAGGTTCTCAAAACCATATTCTTCCTGTCTAACATAAAATTGACCAACATCTCCCAATTCCCTCTGCTCTGATCCCCAGGCCCCAGGCCCTAGTCACCACTATTCTGTTCTTTACTTCTATGAGTTTAACATTTCTGAGTTTTAATTCCCTAGTGTGGGAACTTACTTTTGCATGAGAGCCTTTCCAGGTACCAATAATAATTTCTGTTAAATCTGTGGCTATAAAGGTTACAAATGTCTCCCAATAGCTCATTCTTTATATGCCCTATGAGTCCTGTCACTTAGTACACATTTTGCAAAAGGTCAAGTTTTGCTGAAGCATTTAACACATTATAGCAGAAATGCCTACATGCTGCTCCATTGATTGCTTTTGAGTGGTTATACAAATTTTTATTTTCTTTAATGTAATGATTTCTTTTAAACAAACAATTTTTTGACAAAGACAAATGGAAAATATTCCACTATTCACCTGAATAGAACAAAGGTTCTGTTCTGAGCTCTTGAGTACAAACCAATGTTCTACTAAGTTGATGACAAGAATATAGGTATAGTATGTGCTGCCAAACTAAGGAAAGTATTAGCTGCAGGATGCAATTCTTTCTAGCTCTATGAATGCTCTCTCACCTAATCTGCAATCCAAACATGCACCAAGAATTGACTCATTAACAAATAGCTAGAAGTACAATGTTTTTAAAAAGATACCACTGACCTTTCCTTGCTGTCCTGGGTTGTTATTATGAGCATCTATTAATGTGTATTGGCATCATAGGCATAGGGCCTGGGATAGGGAATGAAGCAGTGAAAGTCTTCAGATGGCATGAACTTTTGGGCTACTGCAGTACCACAGTGTGAATATGCCCCTCAAAGTTCACGTGCAAAAGTTTTGACAGGTGGAACATTTAAGGGGTGATTGGATCATGAGGAATCTACCACTACCTAGTGAACTGGTTAGTTAACACTGCAGTGGGTTCTTGATAAAAGGATGATTTTGACCCTTTCTGTCCCCCTTATGTGCTCTCTTGCCCTTCTGCCTTCCACCATGGGCCCTCACCAAATGACAGCCCCTTGGTCTTGGGCTTCATAGGCTCTAGGATTACATAGCAAATGTTTGTAATTTATAAATTACCCAGGCTGTGGTGTTGTCATAGAAGCACAAAATGGACTGCATACGACATGTGGCATAGACTCAATATTGCTATCCATGGACACTGCCCTGGCAATGATTTTCTCAGGCATTTTCCTGCTGGCTCTCTCTTCTCTGCAGCTTGCTAACTCCCATTCTTGCTGAAACCCTCCATTGCTACTTCCTTCCACAGTTCTTGTCCTTCCCTTCACTTAATAAATATTTTTCAAATGTTTACTAAATGCTAGGAAGTAAGCATACTTTCCTGCTACCTTATAACAGATGTTATGCTTTTCAGTTTTTCAACATGCCCTATGCTTTAGAATCTAAGTTGTACTATATCTTGAGCAGGACGATTGGTTAAGAGAATTCACTTCTATAATTTCACTTGGATATGATGGCTGAGTGGTGACACTCACTGAAGAAGGAATGCTAAAATGGTAAAACAAAATGCCTTTGGAGATAAACCAGCCTCTGATTATTTAAAAATAAATGCAGTAGCAGCCACATAGGGCAAAAGACATTAAATTCATTCTGAATTATATTAACTTCCTCCTGATTCCGATATTATTTTGAAATCAGATCTTCTAAAATTAGTGATAACATAAGGACACTATTACAACATATAATATATCCACATAAGATGAAATGCACTTAATACTCAAAATTTTAAACTAAAAATTATTTGTCCTTTTAAAAAGATAGCCTACAGTTCAAAATATTTTCCCATTTCAAATACCTTTTTAAGGATAGTATTAAGGAGTTTTTGCTGTTTATAAGGTTTACATATAAGAATATATAGATGAATGAAAATATTCAATGTGTCTTTTGGTTCAAACTTAAAAAAAAATTCCTCTGGTGTCCAAAATTCTGTGGTACATTCTCCACTGTTGGTAGAAGTGTAGACTGGTACAACTACTGTGGAAATCAGTGTGAAGATTCTTCAAAAAACTAGGAGTAGAGGTCCCATCTGACCCAGATATTCCCCTTCTGGGTATCTTCCTAAAAGAATTAAAAGCATCATACCACAGTGATATATACACACCCATGTTTATAGCAACATAGCTAAATCTTGGAAACAACCCCAATGCCCATCAACTGATGAATGGGTAAAAAAGATTTATTTTATACAATGGAGTACTACTCAGCCATAAAGAAAGATAAATTTGGGACATTTCTAGGTAGATGGATGCACCTTGAGACTATACTCTTAAGCGAAATAAATGGGACACACATGTGTAAATATTGCATTGTCTCTCTGGTGTGATAAACTGAAAGTGTAAATAGGGACCAACATGTGTAATAGATACCGTGAAAGAGGAAGAAATTTTTCAAAAGGAAAGGGAAACTAGGGAGGGGGGAGGAAGAAAGGAAATAAGGGAAAGAAAAAAATGAGAAAAGAATGATGAAATGGAAACACAGCTTTGTAAATAAGGAGAGGAAGAGAGGTTGAAGAGAGAGGAGGGGAATGGGAAAAAATAGGAATCAAGATATATCATTTACAGGTACAAATTCCCTAAGATGAATGTGATCATTATGTGTATCTAAATTATACCAATAAAC